AATATTGAATAAATGTGTAAACAAAATGAACTGGATCAAATTCCTTCTAGCCAAAAGTAAGAGAAGTCTGCTAAATTACATCAACAGGAAAACAATTTGACGTATTTTGTTTATAAAACGTTGTCCAAATATGACAAATAAGTTGAGGAAATAATTCCAGAAAGAATGCATCATCATCATCCAAAATATGTTCTAGACATAAGGGTAGCTGGAGAAATACTTGCATCATGGGAAAAAACTAAATGAGGATTAAATTCTGCTCTAATACATTTAGCCTTTCTGCTCCTACTTATTTCTCTAGTCCATTTGTTGTGGACAGTAAAAAAATCTGCTTACCAGTCTGACAGGACCAAATTCACCTCATCCATCTGTTAACAACTAAAAATCAAGCATTAATTAAACATACTAGTGAAGCCTTGGGTTTACTATACTGTGATGCTGCACTACAGTTTCTGATGACTGCATCACCTATCAGTTCTTAGATTCCAAGGCTGAGTTTGAAAGCTGTCCACAAAGAGAAGCCAGAACCAGCAAGCTCTCCCTTCTCTAGGCCCTGCTGGGTATCACTGGTGGTTACATATAGTTTTCCCATAGACTGAGACCTGTCTGGTCCAAAGCTTTTCTCCCTCTCTCTATAGGTCAGGGCCAGCCTGTTCCAACTTGTGAGACAGATCTTAAGATGGTTCTGAGCACCATTCCAGTACAGCATTTCAGATGGATGTCAGTGGTTGCAGACTGTGTGCTGGCCATCTGATTCCTTCAAGTTTTGCAGGCCAGGAACAGATATCTTAGCTCTACTATTTTTGTCTAACTATACCTAGTAAAGAGACATTACAAAATATTGCACTTCCTACCCTAGAGCAAACTATCTGGTGCTATGTCTGGGTACAAGGCAAACAGGATTCTTCATGTTTCTGTTTTAAATCAAGCCAGCTTGGGGCATAACTTTTTTTTGCTTGGGTGCAATGCAAACAAATGTATTTTACAAATTGGTTTTCTTACTGCACAGCTATTCCTAATGACTCTAGCTTCCTGGCCCTGTGGAGGCAAAGCAGCTAATCCTGCTAGTGGGTACAGCCGGATTTTCTTTTGTCAGATCACCTTTTGCTCAGTGTGGCAGTCAGAACCACTACGACACCTGAGGGGAACCTCCACTCATCCTCTACCTGAGCCACTGAAAGCTGCCCCCCAAGCATCAGGAGGAAGCAAAAAATAAATGTGTATTTCACTAAGTTTACTTTTTCTGTTTGTTGTTGTTGTTTTAAAAAGAATGAATTGTTTATGTGCTTAAATATAAGATTGTAATTGTACACTGCTCTAGCTTACAACTTGTTAGCAGTAATGATTATTTGTTTAATGAGGGCTGGATGTAGGTACTAGACTGAATATGTAATCTTCTGTTCTTCAACTGTGAACCACAGCAGATGGTTTCAGTCTATGCAGATTAAGAGCAAAGTAACACATTTTGTATTTCCAGAATAAATAGGAATATCTTAACACCAATTACAGATCATGCAAAATGGGAAAGACAGCATTGAAAGTGCTGAACAGCTACTGATTTGAGCAGATTTTGAGATTATAAATATTACATTTGGCACCTTAGAATCATCCATACCACAAACGGATGAAAAACTGAGTGAGAGAAGAATGAATCTATGGTAGGACTGGGATTTGGCTCCCCTTCCCTTTATACCACTCTTCCACTTGAGCCTTTAAAATAATTTCCAAAATCCTTTTTCTTCAAGGACCTAAATACACAATTAGAACTATTTTTGTTTCTGGGGTAGTTTCTCTGAATAAAACCCTTCTTACCTCTTATCTTTTTTCTCAGGAGCTTAAATCTAAATATTAAACAAGAGAGCATAGAAGTACATATGGGACAGATGGGGTAGCACAGGGAAGTGACACAACAGTATGTATCAGCATGGCTGGTATCTGTTCCAGCAGTCTTAACTGTTACATTTTTATTATTATTATTATTATTTTAGATCAGTGCAAAGAACCATAACAAAGAATTGAAATGTTGTTTTAGATATTCATACATGCAGGAAATTTCTCCTCAGCGCAAAGAAACATGAAGGTATTCATCTGAAAATGAAATGAGTGCATAATGCAGACTGGCATCCTAGTGTAACAGGAGAATTAAAATACACACAAAGGAATTGAAAACATCCTGGCAGATCAGCAGTACCTGATGAGCTGATTTTCCATAGAACTACAGCCCTGTCTGCACAAGAATTACACATGGGGCTAACCCATTGGTTTCCATCTGTTTGGCATTGCTGCATACCTCACCATCCTTCAGCTGAGATGGCTGAATTTGTAGGAAAATATAAGATGGCAATTTAAAGCCAAACAATCTCTTGTTGAGAACGTTGTCTCTACATGAGGACAACATTCAGGATGAAGAGAGCATTCTTCTGTGCCTGCAGTGGAGATGAGCATTTCTGCTGATGAGTAGTGTCAAGGTACATCCCTGCCTACCACTGGGGAGTATCAGTAGCAGTAAACAGTGCAGACTGGGCCATGGATTTCATCAAGCAGGGTCTATGTGACAATATGGTACCTGGTGTGTTTGTGGGTCCCATAGTTCCCGTTGTCATTCAGTTTCTGACATAGAAATAGCTGTTGTGCAGTTGAGTCATTATGGGGATTGAATAGAAGAAATTTAAATGTTACTGATGCAGCTATATATAGGGAAAGAAGCCTTGAATATGAAGATGTCACTGAAATGGGTAAGTCAGCTGCATACAAAAATGCATGAATGGACAGTGTTTTGCTTTATGTTTTGTTCCCAACAAGGCTCGTTTTCTGAGGTTTTGGCCACAAATAGTGCTTGAAGCTTTCCTACCTAAGCTCTCAGGAATTAACATTTTGATTCAGGGGCTAGAAATTTCTTCTTCTTGTTGAGGCTGACATTGGGATCAGGATTTACCCAATACCCTAGCAACTGTTATCAGTTATATAGTAATATATAATAGGGTTATATAACAGCCCAAACAGCTGTTCATCTTCTGCTTAATGTGCAGAAAAGTGATCTTGTATAGCAAGATTGCTTTGACTCATTTATCTGGCTATACTGTTAATTTCAATGCTGTTTTCCCTGATATCCTCTGTGTGTTGCAAGGAGAATCACACTCTGATTGCCTGTCAACAAGATATCACTCACTGGCAATCTATTGCATCTCTAACATGATCTTTTGACTTCCTAAAATACTGAAAAGTTTTCCCTAGGATGGGATCAACACTGTCATTGCAAAACTCATGCTTGATAGCTTTATGAGTCAGGAAGTGCTTATAAGGCTTCATAAGGGAAGCTATCTCTTGAAATAAACAGTTACTGTTATTTCTTTGTCTGTCTCTAGAGCTAAGAATCTAGATCTTGATCCTTACAGAAAATTATCAAATTGATATTAGAACCATTGCTTCTACATCATTTTGAGAGACAAAATTCTACCTGAATGAATGAATGACTAAAAGGATGTGACAACTGACGAGGTTCATTATTCAAACATTTTATTTCCGGAACCATTAAATAAATAAATAGATAAATAAATAAATTAAAGGATATGACAATGGAGAAGGTCTAGTACTCAAATATCTTTCCAGAAGCATCTACCTATGACCTCTCAACTTATGAAATTGTAACTGTGCTCTTGTCCCCACTGCTTGCCGTGGGTCTGGCACTAGGGTGCCAGCCCATCACCTGCCCTGTTAGAGTTGCACATGAAATTTGGGCAGTACAAGGTTGCCAGGGGCTGCCTATCAGGTGCCTATCAGCATGGCCATTTTAAGGGATGAGGTAAGGAGGGCCCAAAGATCCTGCTGCTCTGATCCTTGTGGGAGCAGGGGAAGGTCCTGCTGCGGTGGCCCAGTGTTAAAACTGGATACCATGTAAGGTGGAGGAGCAAAAGTGGCAGCTGAGGTCTGGCTGCTGCTTGGTGGAAGCAGGGAGATGGCCTTTGAGTCTGGTGCATTGTTTCTTTTTTCTGTCCCAGTGTGGTGATGTTAAGTCACACAACACCCTTTGTGGTGAAAGAATGGCACAGGCTCTGGCACAGTCACACTACTGTCAACCGGGTTTGGTGCTGGATCTTGGAAAGGTGTGAGCCTGCAGGGGACACAGCCATGAGAGGCTCTCATGCAGTAAGCAGAATCTGTGCACCGGGACACTCCTGTCAACAGGGCAGCCATTTGTTTCAGTACGGGTATCAACATGTGGAAACAGCTGGATCTAGAGATCCACAGAGATGTCAAATTAGCCTGTCTGTTCCCAGCAGACTTAATTACTTTCAAAGATTTGAATATGAGACCTATGTAATTCCTGTGCTTGTAATTATTATCTATAGAGTTGTGGAGGTAACTCTGAGAAGATGTACATGCTTTGATTTGCATTATATGAAATAGATTCCTTCCCTAGAGATGCACTTGGATATAATGGAAGGCTGATATGACATGGTGATAGCTTTGAGCTATGCTAACAGAAGCACTAAGTCCTAGAAGGACCATCCAAGGCAAAAGGAGAAATGAAAAAGATATTCTGGTCTTCCAGAATGAGGACTATGCAAAAGCAAATTATAAAACCAAAGACCCAAACAAACAAAAGATAAAAACCAGCAAATACTATTGAAATACAGTGTAACTGTTTCAATAAACAGGATAATAAACAAAGATGGCAGAAACTTATTTGTGCCCTGGGATACCTTCTAGGGTGAGAATCATCTGTTTTTAGACTACATACTAACACATTAGAAAGTCAGTGACCTAAAAGTCTGGGCAAAGTAAAAATATCCCTACAAAGCGCATAGTAATAACTGCATAATAATAATTTGACTAGGAGTCAGATTCTGCTGGTAGAATTTTGCTGCCTCTAGGGAAGAAATGAAGATGTTGTCTCCTTTCATGCACACATTCATTGTGTTAGGTTTATTTTGTTATGAGTTTTTTTTTTTTTTTTTTTTTTTTTTTTTTTGTAACCTCAACCCCAAGAGGTTTATTGCATTTTAATTTCTTTTAAGTAGGTCACTGGTTTCCTTTTTTTGCACTGCCCTCATTCTAAGTCAATTTGTAGTCTAAATCTTTAGTTAGTCTCTTTAGAATAAAACAAATAAAAAAAAGCACTGCTGAAACTTTAACTATTTAACAATTCTATTATACTCCACTTTAACCTCACCCTCTCAAAACCCACCAGGGTGTTTTCAAGTTCTTGCCTTTCCTTCTGCTAGTCCTTCACAGATAAGGAATCAAGGAGGAAAGCATCTCAGAAAGATGAAAGTTGCATGTTGCAGAATAAATTTCTTTCTTGAAGAGTACAGCAAGGCAAAGCACCCTGTTACTGAAGATGTCACCATTTAGGTCATACATGATTTTTGTGAAAAAAAATCCAAAAACCCAAACCTGAAATACACAGTCAGGAGCTTACAAAGAACCGGCCCCAATCCTTATACCATTATGTCCTTCCTGCCTTTCTTGTTCCCTAGAAGACCTGAAGAACTTGCTTATAAAATGTACCCACAAAATGACAAAAAAAAAAAAAAAAAAAAAATTGCCCAGCATGAGGCAGGGAGAGACTGCTGTGGGGCAGTGACAAGAATTACAATACATTCAGGTAGTAACTGTGAACATGGGGGCTCATTTCTTGCTTGACTAAAATGTAGAGAGAGTGTATTCATAATTCATTTTTTTCTTGGGATGCTACGGGCTGCAATTTCATTTGCATTTGCTTAGCACTCTAATCCCAGTTTATGAATCAAGGGTCATGCCACTGTGACTGCTATGTTACCTGGAGCTTGTGGAAGCAAACAGAATGCTCGGGCTCCCATCTCTGTCAGCACAAGATGTGAGATTCACGGGCACTGTGGGAAAAGACATAAATAAATAATAAATGAGCTAAATAATGAAGACTAGCTGTACCTAATTACAATTCTAGCTGTCCTTTTGAATAAAGAAAGTTCAAAGCTGATGCTGAAAGATGCGGATCTCTTTTCCGACTGGTGTTTGCACTTCACAGATGATTAACATGAGAAAGTCAGGAGATGCCAATGGAAGTCAAACCAGTTTTTCATAGTTGAAGAGAAAAGCAGCGTCTCTTACAACAGTTTACTTATTTACACATCACAGCATTCTTCAGTTTAAATTAACCTGAATACAGAAGCAATGGAAAATGTAGAATTGAATTGATTTGGTGGTTGTTATTCCTTATAGCTTTTGCATGCTCTACACATAGGAGAGACTCAGACATATACAGGAGCGCATGTTCCTAGCCTGGGTGTTTAAGTATCTAATACTATGTATGAACACATTCACTCCTCATCCATTTCTATTAATCATTTAATTAGAAATAATTTGTTCCTAGTGCCCTTTCCATGCCGCAGCCTGGGGCTTATGAATACCTGATCTCTGGGAACAGAGTTTCTCTCAGACTACAATAAAAGCATGGTGCATGGACGCAGCCCACAGACCAGCAGATTTCTTTGGACTGCCCAGTGGTCAGTGCATGTTTACCTCACATTTTCCTGTCTGTAAAATAAAAATAATAATTCCTAATTGTGTTTGAAAAAACAATCTTTGGATAGCAAAGTCTTAATCATATACCATGTATGATTATTTCATTCCCAGGACAAATAACCCCTTGGGCACATCTATATGATTGTTACATATTTCTAACTAATGCGAGTAGTGGAAATGAAGGTATAAAGTTCAGGGATTCTTTTAAAACTTAAACAACTTTCCACTTTGATACATAGTATAAAATGAACTTCCACAGAAAGGTAAAGTTTAAACATCTACAGCATATTGAAACAACTGCCCTTGCAATTTGCAGAAAGTATTAATATAATTGACGGACATAAATGATTGCACAAAGCCTTTGAGCAAATACTAACACCATTGAGTTATCTTTCATCATCTCTTAATCTATTGGTTGAAGAGTGTTTCAAATTATACTGTGGGCTTGCCCAAGAGACCCTAGTAACACTAAAACTACATATAGGACTGTACATGTTGTGCAGGCACATTGTATATAGTGCAATGTGTCATTAAAAGGACATCTTTAAATAAACATCTTAAAACATACTGCATGTTGTTGCTAATCCTATGAAATGCCACCTGTATACAGAACAGATTGTATTATGAAGGAAGCCCACTATGAATTTAAGCACAGATGTTATTACTTTTAAATATATCTTAGACTTTATGATATAAAATGAAGTAACTGGCTGCACCATGTATCACTGTTTCACTGAGTTCACGGCCTCACAGCTAATGCAAACCTTCCTTGCTCACGCAGAGAATACTGTATAAAGGATGCAAGCATTTTACCCATATTAGGTACACAATACTTCTTGACCTTATTTTCATCATTTTTCTCCACTGTTCATTGGTACTGATACCATTTACTCTGCGTGAATATAAAGAGAGACACAAGTTTGCCATCTGTAGCACACAAGCCATGGAAGCAAAGTGATCATGAACAAAAGAACTGAAACATGTCAATTGGCCATGAAAGCTCATATCTTACAAACCAACGAGCAGGTTGTCAGATAAGGAAAATCACTTTAGTTCCTTCTCCTCCAGTGGAACTGTATCACTTTCCACCAGCACAGATACAGCTGGTTATCTGTGGTAGTGCTGTGCCCCTTCTTCAGAAGTGTCTTTTCAGATGCTGTAACGTGCACTACACCTTCCAGGTTTTTATGGTATAGTGAGGGTTACTGCCATTCTGGACAGCCTCCCCCTACAGCATTAATCTCTGGTGCTCACTTCCAGTGTGGTTCTCAATAGTTGTTCAGTGCTGTGGTTAAGCCACTGCATTTGCTGTAGAGTTGTTTCTTTTCTTCTTGTTCCACAATACTTCCCATTTTCTTTCCATTCTCAGTCCTTCCACAGTTGCTTCTCTAACGAAAAATGCTTTGCTGAGTCACCTCCATGTAAAACCTTCCCACAACCCATATAGTCATCTTTTGTTGGAAGAGCTCCTTATAATAAATAATAATTATTATTTAATAATTAGATATTGTATTATTTACAGTTCTGAGGCGTATTGAATGAGCAGGCTTCTCATTGTTTGCCTTGCTTCTATTTTGCTTTGGAAATGGGTCTTAGATCATATTCTGTGGTACATGTGAATTATTAATGAATCAAATCTAAACTATCGCAAGGACAGCAAAATTATTTTCATCCAAAGGACTGTTGGATAAATAAGCCAGGTTTTTGCCGAGTGTTGAAATGTGAGTCTTGCAATGGAGAGTGTTTTTTTTCCAGTTTTTTTCCGTCTCCACTACTGAATATGATCTCTTCTGTTTGCCCCCAGGTTTTCACACTTTCTAAAATAGAACACTGTACTGGTTAAATATATACCTACTAGTGTATGGTGCTGAAATTTTAGAAAGATCTTAATACCCTTTTCTTTTTCCATGTTTTCCCTCCCTCCCTCCCTCCCTCCCTCTTTCCTTCCTTCCTTCCTTCCTTCCTTCCTTCCTTCCTTCCTTCCTTCCTTCCTTCCTTCCTTCCTTCCTTTTCCTTCCTTTCTTCCTTTTCCTTCCTTCTTTCCTTCCTTCCTGTCTTTTTTTTTTTCACAGTTGACAGTAGAGTTGAAGAGTTGATTGAAGGTTTTTTAATGTGGTTAGAAGTCTGTGATACCATTTGATGGTATTTCTTTTCTCTCCAGATGACCTGTTTTCAGGAGAATCTCTTCAAATGACTTGTTAGCATTAACAATCTCCACACTGCAAGTTGCTTACTGTTAATATTATTTAGTACTGGACCATTTATCATAAAATAGTTAAAATATAATGTTTTCAAGGAAGATTGGTGAATACTACTTGCACTGCTATGGCTGGAAGTACTGCTTTTGAGTGTCAGAAATTATACGTCAAACACCTGTACTTGACTAATGGTTTGAAGATTAATTAAAGCTGATTTGTTTATTTTTGTATTGCAAGATGCAGAGTAGAGTAATAGTCACTAAATGTCCCTACTATGCCTCCATTTGAAACAAAAGCCTGACAGCAATTATTTGGCATAACACATACACCAATAAAAAAATTTGATGACATGGTAAATAATTATTTGATTGCAAGAATAATTATCTAGTCTATATTTGCAGCAAATGATAGCATTCTCCATCTCTTCTGTAACAGTGCATGCAATTGGAGCTTGTGAGGCCACAGGATGCACACCTGCTGAATTTCCAGACCCTTATCAGAACAGTAAACACAGGGAGTTTTTTTCCCTTCGTGCAGCTTCTCTTATTAACAGGTCATTCTGGAAAAGGAGTTGTCTAGCATAGCTGTGGTCCAAAGAAGACCCTCATGGGTATTGCTGTCCGTGTGAGTAGTTACACGTGCGTGCTTTGTGATGATGACTGAGTGGACAGTGCTTGGCGCTTCACTTCAGTGTGCAGAAGACGGAATGCACACAGCCAGAGGGCAAATCTGCAGATGCTGGACTCCCCTTCAAGGTCATGCTGTTTCTTATTTATTTTTTTAGTATTGCCATCTGATAAATAGACTGAGTTTAAACTACAAATGCTTCCAAATGCATTTGTTTCTATTCTATTGACACACTCTTGAAGTCCAACTGAAAAACGCATGCTGGGCTAACTCTGGTAATTAATAAATGACTGTGATCATGTATTTACAATTTATATTGTACAAGTAAATGTTTATAAATTTATCTGCACAGGAACAGTCCCTGGTTCTAATTATACACAGCCTTCGCTATTCTTAGACCGTATGCCTAGGGCAGATTCTCAACAGGATCTAAAAATTTGGCTTAGCAACAGAATCTGTAATCTGTTCCTGAACATTGCTGCACCATGATACTTGCTCTGTTTCAGCCTGTTTTTGCAGTGTTTGAAGAATTCATCTCAGAGTATAAGATGAGCACAGAAGTGAGGTTTAAAAGTGACCGAGTAATTAGTGAAAACAAATCAATAAAATTATGAACTACCAGCAATAGTACTTAAATTACAAATGTTGGTAGCAACTCTCAGCTTTGAGGAAGAGAAGGAGTAGTAAGACAACCACTGATTACAGTGAACCCAAATGTAAAAGGAGGTAATCTCACCAGACAGTTAGTACTGCATTCTAGTTGCTTCGTGCAAATGGAAAGTATTCTGTTAAATTACATTAACAGTTGCCAAATATATACATGTATATGTTTATGCCTGTATATCTGGGTCTTTTAGCAGTACAAACCCATAATGTAATGATTAAACTATTTTAATAAAATTCAGTCTATTCTAGTGTAGCTTATCTTGCCTTTCTGAATGCTCACATGAATTAAAAAGGGTCATCCCACAGAAATAAGCACATGAAAAAAAAAAGTTCATTAGCATTTTAGATGAAGGAAAACGTCATAAAGAACAAATAGAGGATGCTTGATACTCATATTGTCAACTAGAGATTACAATTTTTGCCACAGTGAATTATAGGTAGATAGATTTTCACTGGGCAACATACGAGGAAGTGAATTTAATAAGGCTGCATCACTGAGCACCACAGTACAGGACAGAGTGCAGGGGAGTTTCCTCCGCAGAGGGAAGGAGGATATAGAATCACAGAATCATCTAAGCTGGAAAACCAAGATTACCAAGCCCAAGTGCCAACCTACCCTACAGAGTCCCAACACTAAATCACGACCCTTAGTGCCACGTCTACATGTCTCTTAAATACCTCCAAGGATGGGGACTCCACCACTTAATTTGTATTAAATTAGAAGGCTCTGCCACTTCATCCACTAGAAAGCTTTCATGTTTTCATTAGTAAGTAAAAATAATTCTTACATTTCAAATAAAACCTAAATGTTTTTCTTTTTTTAAAGTGACCTAGACAATGTTGTTTCAGTACCATCTGTCCTTAGTCACTTCCTCTGAGGTCAGTGTTTCATTCTGTCCAGGGACAGAACTGCATCTCCCATGACAGGCCATATTTCCCCGGCACCTTGGCTGGAGTCTTTACAAGATTAACAACCTGGGTGGAGGGAGGAAGAATGGTGGAATCAGTCTTTTAATTTTCCAGCTCAAGGTATTCATAAGTGATGTAAGCACATGCCATCTAATATCACTTTATTTTCATTGTATCTATGGAGATTAGTATATTCACAGAATGATGTGTAGATACAATATTGTTCATAGAGATAAAACAGATGAAAATCTCTATGAACAAAGCAGAAATGGGATTCCTGAATATGTAGCTTGGCCATAACTTACATTACTACCAAACACAGAAAATGAGTGGTCTGTCTTTGAAAACTATGCAACTGAAAATACACCTAACATTCAATGACCGTAAGTAATATATGTTCTTTTATTACTATCACAGTCTTAAATAAGCACATCAGAAGATATGTTAAGAGATGTCAGTATACCAGCTGATGCTTGGCAAATCTACAGCTCTTGAGTACTCAATGGTATAAAATACTTTCTTCTGAATTATTATTTGAAATACATGGATTTTCTTTGTAGTGAAAGGAATAATTCTGCATTTTTCACTTGAAGATCTCAACATTACTGGGTCTTCAATGTTTCTAACAACTTGTTTTAACCAAGGAAGAACCAGTTACTTTTTTTTTTTTTCAGTTCCAATATTTGTACTGTATTATACTGTAAAATGAAAATGAATATGAAGACAATAAAATGTTTAGTATTGCTTTTTTTTTGACCAAGGGAGATCAAAACATAGATACATACAGTCCAAATATTACATATCCCAATCAACCAAGCTGGGAAGATAGGAAGTCTGAAAACCAAAAAAAACTCATGAGAGATCCTGAAATGTTTCCCTATTTTATTACAGATATGTCTGTTATAATGCCTAACGGGAGGTGGGAGGCAAATGGATGAGGTCAGGCTCTTCTTGGTGGTGCATAGCAATAGGACAAACAGTAATGGCCTAAAACTTGAACATAGGAAATTCTGTACTAACATGTGGAAGAACCTCTTTACAGTAAGGCTGCTGGAGCATTGGAACAGGCTGCCCAGAGAGGCTGTGGAATCTCCCTCTACAGAGACATGTAGGACCTCTCTGGACACCTGCCTGTGCCACCTATGGGTATGTGCTTTAGCAGGGAATTTGATCTGTTGACATCATAGAATCATAGAATGGCCTGGGGTGAAAAAAAACCACAACGATCATCTGGTTTCAACCCCCCTGCTATATACAGGGTCGCCAACCAGCAGACCAGGCTGCCCAGAGCCACATCCAGCCTGGCCTTGAATGCCTTCAGGGATGGGGCATCCACAACCTCCTTGGGCAACCTGAATTCCTGTGAGTACAGCTGACAAACCCCAAGCACTGCCTAAGCACTGCCTAAGCACTGCCCAGCCGCTTACTCCCCCAGCCGCCCCCTTCCCGCCCAGTCCAGCACCACAGCGCAAATCCACCAAGCCACGGCCGCAACAGACAGGCGCGCGCAGGCGGTGCTGGCGCATGCGCAGCGTCGCTCTCCTTGTGGCTGCGCGGAGGGCACCGCAGGCTTCAAGGAGAGGGCCGGGCTGGGCTGGGCCGCCTTTCGCTGCTGCCGCCATGTTCCTCTGCGCTGCACTGCGGGCCGCGGCCGCGCGCTCGGTAAGGGGGCGGTTGCAGGGTGCGGCCTTGCGGCGGGCCGGCCGGCCGCGCGGTGCGGGAGGCCGCGGGCGGGGTGTCGGCGCTGCCCTCACAGGGGAGGGCGGTGAGGCCTGGCCTCGGGGATGGAGCGCTCGGTGCGAGGGCTGCGCTCCGGCCTGTGGTCCAGTCCTCGAGCGCGTTCTCACTGTGCTCTCCTTGCGCCCGGAGGCTTTTGCCTGAGTGTTGAGTGTCATGTGGCTGCCTGTGAGCGCTCGGGCTGGGGCAGTTCACTTTAGAAGGAATGCGGGGGTGATCTGCAGTACGGTTATTTGGGGATACAAGAGTGCCTTTTGGCCTCTGACAGCAGCAGGAAGCGAGTTGTTTTCCTGCCTGATGCTCTCAGGCGAGCCAGAACTGGAGAGCAAAGGGGAGATGGGTGCATGCAAAATATCTATAAGGCTGCACGACACTTCCACCCAGCCTGCAGGAGTGATGGTGTGACAGGGGAAACCACTGCCTCGCAAGGCAGGTGGGGCCATGTAATGCTTACGCTGCTTTTACAGCAGAACAGATCCAGGCAGAGACGATAAAAAGTGAGAGTGACTTGCTTATGGATCTCTCTTCTTGTATTTAAGGTGCTCAGTCTTGTGTGTCTCCTTTTGTCTGATGTCAACTGTTTAGTCAGCAGAGAGCTGTAGTAATGTGTACGTGAGAAAAGCCTCAGTACTGCTGATACCTTTGCCAGATGTTTGGCTCACCAATGGTACAGGGTAACAAACTGAAAAATTCTTCATAGAGCATTTGATGAGGATTTGTATTCAAACTGGTGGAACATTTACCAGTTTGAACTTCAGTCCTTTAAATTCTCTTAATACACCTTGATTGTTTCAAGCAGTGTAGTAAATATGCTCTCTTGCAGTACAGTAGAGCTCATTGTATTCTTCTCTTGATCTGATTTAAACTGATTAGGGATGGCAAAATAATGAATGGCTTACAACTAAAATAGAACTCAAACTGATTCTGAAAAAGGGTATGCAAATTATAGGTCATCAACACCATCAACTTTGTTTTGTTTGTAGATGAGACAAATCCGATACTTACATAGAACACCAGCATGCAGTTCAAGTGGAGGAGCCTTATTTGTGGTAAGTCATCTTCTACCTTGAGGGAAAGGGGATGTATAACAAGGGGTTAGCATATGCTTTTCTTATTCTCCTAGAGGTTTCTGGTGGGTGCAACTTAGGGCAGTATGGTTAGGTTGCAATTGGGCAATCTTTAAGGTCTTTTCCAACTTGAGTAATTCTATGATTCTATAATTCATATTAGAGTTGTGATATGTTGTCAAAAGATTGTATTGTAGGTCTTGGCATAATGTTTCCTATTTTATGTAGTGAAAACTAATGTACTAGCAATGCTAGCATCATTTCTGTGTGATTTCTTATTTGTGTAATGTTTGATTTTTGTTTAAACTTATCACAAAACAGTTGTTTCCTTTTTTTTTTTTTTTTTCAATTGAAATTAATTTAGTTTGTAACTTGATACTCTAAACTAACTCTAACAGTTTCTTGGCTTCTGCAGTTTGCCACAGAATTACCAATAGGTCTATGTCTGGCCACCTTCACTAGCTGCTGAAAAGTGCAGTTGTTGTTCATGCTTTATGACATACAATAAGTTGAGTAGTGACTCATCACTGAGGCAATTAGACATTACTGTTATACATACAAAAAGTAACAGCGATTGCATAAATAAAAGTGTGTGTATACAAACACGTAAAGCAGCTATATTGTCTGTTTACCTCTGAAGAGAATCTGAAGCATCTCTGAGAGGAGTGTTCTCTTCCACTCTGCTGCATTCAAAGCTGTACCTAGAATTCAGTTCAACAGCTATTCAAAAGTTCACATTTACTGTTTTTCCTCTATTTATTGGAAATCAGCACTGTACTGGAGAATCAACTGATTTGTTGGAAGCAGATGTTCTGTGTTTTCAGATGGATTGGTTTTCTGATCTATCTGCAGCTGTCTCCACAGCTTTCACTTTGGATGAAGTTAATGAGGTTACAGTACATGCTTTGTATGCTTTTTCAGAACCCTGAACAGGCATTGGTAATTTATGGAGTGAGAGCTGATACTCAAGAAGTTACAGAAAACATGAGTGTAGGCTGACAAGTTAGGAAACCTAAAGAGTAGTCTGAAGTGGGTGAAGAAGGCAAAAGGTGTCCTTGGCACACCAATGAAGGTTGGTGTTTGGAGTATGATGCTAGATGGCTTTGTAAATTCTTCAGCTTTTTGCAAGATTTATCTTACTGTGTTAATGATTTGCTGGAGGGGGGAGCACGGAAATAGCAAAAGGCAGGTAGAAAAGTTTTGTGTTTTAGTAAGCTTATGATTTCTAACCGTTTTATTTAATATTATGTTCTACTCTTTGTATTTTTATTCCTCGTCAGATATATATTTTTTTTCTAGAAGAGCATAGAAAATTGTGGGGTGGTGGGCTTGTTTGTTTGTTTTTGTGATGGAATGTTTGTTCTCTTATAAAGTATAAGGCTATGGGAGGAAGATAGCTGTATGTCATTCTGTGTCAATGTTATTGTTTGCCCTAACTACAGCTAAAATCTTCAGAGCAAATTTCAGATGTAATTAAACACAAGAAATTTCAAGACTGTTTTTTTCCAGATTTTGGGGAGGAGGGAACATAAATACTTTATTTTCTAGAATATCACAAGAAGACCATAGAATCACAGAATGGTTTGAGTTGGAAGGGATCTTTAAGATCATCTAGTCCAACTGTCTCTAGGACAGGTACAGGTCCCCAGCACACATACAAGGTAGATCAGGTTGCTTATAGCCTGGTCCTACCTAATCTTGAATGTCTTCAGGGATGGGGTATCACCCTCTGGGCAACCTGTTCCAGTGCCTCACCACCTTTATCTTAAAAAACTTCCTTGTATTGAATCTAAACCTCCCCTTTTCCTCTTGTGGTATCACTACAAACCCTGCTAAAGAGCCTGTCCCCTTCTTTCTTACTCCTTCTTTCTCCTTTAGTTACTGAAAGATACTGAAGATGTTGTGATTTCTGCCGTGTCAAAAGTTGTTAAAATGTGATTGTGGAGGAATTGTGGGTGTACCTGGGAGAAATTCCAACCTCCTGTTGTGATGGTCTTCTTTGTATGTCAGTTTACATAGGAGCACCCTGGTTTTGTTTTTGCAAAGAATGCTGATTCTGAAACAGCCAAGGGGAGATGACTCAATCATTAAATGCAGTAGGTACCATCACAGGCAACTGTATCGCACTTCCAGAAAGAATATGTCAAATTTTAAACGAGGTGGATTATTTGCACTCAGCCTAAGAAAGTTGAAAATCCAAATCTACCATATTTCTGATGGCTACTTTCAAAAATGCTTTTATTTACAATAGTTATATTTTCTTCACATATACCATCTCTGCCCTTGACTTTTACTGTCTTCATCCTCTGTAACAGCTAAACCTTAGCTGTTATATTTTGTTACTTTCTGGCCATCAGCACAAGAGCCCAGATTCCTCAACACATCAACTGCATTGATGTGGACTTTGTCACAGAGCTATTCAGTACAGGAGGTTTGAGAACTGCTATGTTACTGCTTAGCTTGTGATGATGTTCAGTGAAATACTTAGATCTAAGAGCACTTACACCATTCTTTATTTAGGGGAGGTTTGTATCTTGAGTTCTGCTACAATAGTGAATATAGGGTATTTTCTCACTGGAAAAGAAGTGATAAATTTCTTTTTATTGCTGATTTGATACAAACTTATAAGAATCTTAAATGTCCTCTTGCCTGCAAATGATACAATTTTTTCATTTTGGTTCATAGGCACTTAAGCCATGTTTACCACAGGGCATATATCAATTGTCAGGTTTGTTTTAGGTTATATACCAACTTTTTTTGTAGTATACATGAAAACTGGATTATTCTAGTTACTTTATTATCAGGAGTAGTAAACATGAATTCACCAAGGGCAAATCACGCTTGATCAACCTCATAGCCTCCCATGATGTCATTACTAGCTCGGTAGTTGGCGGGAGAGCAGTGGACTTTGTGTACTTTGGCTTCAGCAAGGTGTTTGACATCATCTCTCACAACATCCATCTTATGAAACTTAGAAGACGTGGGACAGATGAGTGGGTAGCAAGGTAAATTGCAGAGCTCAGAGGGTTGTTCTTAGTGGTGCAGAGTCTGTTTGGAGGCCTGTAACTAGAGGTGTTCCCTGGGGGTTGGTGCTGGGTCTGGTCTTGCTCAACGTCTTCATCAATGACCAGGATGAAGGAATAGAGTTCACCCTCAGCAAGTTTGCTGATGATACAAAGGTGGGAGGATTTGCTGACACACCTGAAGGCTGTGGTGCCATTCAACAGGACTTGGACAGACTAGAGAGCTGGGCAGGGAGGAACCTGATGAGATTCAACAAGAACAAGTGTGGAGTCCTACACCTGGGGAGGAATAACCATATGCATCAGTACAGGATAGGAGATGATCTGCTGGAAAGGAGCTCTACAGAGAAGGACCTGGTGGTCCTGGATTGAGTTTGGCCTTGGTTTTCAGGAAACAGCTTTAGCTGATACTTACATAATTGTTTGTACTTCTGTGTACAGGAGGAAGACTTAATATATTTTCTTTTTTTGATCATTTCTTATATGAGGAAGGCCTTAGAGAGCTGGAACTGTTGAAGACATCTGAGTATATTTAAATGCCTGACAGGAGAATGTAAGGAAGACAAAGCCATGCTCTTTTCGGTGGCACACAGGAGGTTCCCTCTGAACACCAGGAGCACTTCTGTGCTGTGTGGGTGAAGGAGCACTGGCACAGGTTGCTCAGAGGCTGTGATGTCTCATCTCTGGAGATCTTCAGAAGCCATCTTGATGTGGG